TTTACTCCCAGCACTCGGGAGGCAGAGGCAGGCGGATCTCTGTGAGTTTGAGGCTAGCTTGGTCTACAGAGCGAGATCCAGGAAAGGTAAAACACTACACAGAGAAACCCTGTCTCGAAAAACAAAAGACAAACAAACAAACAAAAATTAGGATAGATGTGAACACTGACTGATTTCAACAACTGGGAACTAGTACTTTGTTTTTGCCTCTAGACTTAGGCCAGGCCTGTAGCACTAGAATTATTAATTTATAAGACAGTGTTGAAGACTGTCCCTTTCTTACCCCTGCAACCAACTCTTGCAATGAGCTCCCCACAGGCCAGTGAAAATTCATTTTTGTGTTTTTATTATGTTAACTGCCGAAATCTAATGAGTCCTCATTTTTAAAATGTTTTGAATACGGCAATGTGTGCTCTGTGTTCAGTTTCTGGTCTCCCCATACTCTCTCTTCTCTCACCCTCTCTGCTCAGTTTTTCTCCAGTGCATACTGATATGGGTTGAATTGTGTCCATTCAAAAGGTGTGGATGTCCTACTCAACCCCTGAACCTACACAAATATGATCTTATTTGGAGACACCATCTTTTGCAGGCAACCAAATTGAGCCGAAGTCATAAAGCAGTATTCAATTCAATATGCCAGTGTCCTTGTAAAAAGGGGACATTTGGATATAGAGACATGTATGCACCATGGGAGAATGCCACATGAAGACGAAGACAAAGATGGAGTATTGTATCAATGTAAAGATGTGAAAAAGTTGGGTGTAGTGGCACACTCTTGTAATCCCAGCACTGGGAGGCTGAGGTATGAGGATGGGTTCCAGGGCAGCCTTGCTATATAAAGAGACTCTAGGTCTAAAAAAAGAAAAAGGGAAAAAAAAGTTTGTGAACAAAACACCAGAAGCCAGGAAAAACACATGGGACACATTGTCCCTTACAGTCCTCAGAATGACCCACATGCGGGGACCTTGTTCTGGGATTTTCAGTTCTAGAGCTGAGATGATACATTTCCACCGTTGAAGCATATTTTGTAGCACTTAGGTTACTCTAGCAAATGAATACATACACTTAACACCTTCTAACTTTCTATTTGTCTCCCCAACAAGAATGAAAGCCCATGAGGTCATAGAATTTTCCCACGAATCCTGGACATGTAGAATAATGTCTGGCACACTGTAGCTCTGAACAGTCATTTATAAAAGCAGCATTTATGAATATATATATATATTATATTCCTTTGTGGAATACTCCTTTACACTGTGTGAATCTATGTCACTGCGATTGGTTTAATAAACAAGCTGACTGGCCAATAGCGAACAGGATAAGGTTAGGCAGGAGAGCCAAACTGAGAATGCTGGGAAGGAGAAGGGCAGAGTCTGGAATCACAAGCAGACACAGAGAAAAACAAGATGGGCATGCCATACTGAGAAAAGGTACCAAGGCACATGGCAAAGCATAGATAAGAAATATGGGTTAATGTAAATGTAAGACTTAGCTTTTAACAAGTCTGAGCTATTGACCCAGCACTGAATCTCCATGTCGGTTATTTGGGAACTAGTGGGTGGGAAAGAAAAGTCCATCTACAGTTCTTGACTTGGAATGGTTCAATTTACAATTTTTTGACTTTACATTGGTATGAAAGTGGCACATATTTGGTAGAAAATGTACTCCTTCTCTCTCTCTCTCAATCCCTCTCTTTGTTGATACTGGAGTGGACCCCAGGGCCTCATACATGCTAGGCAAGTGCTGTAACAGTTACTACAAACCCAGTCTTAAATTTTTGGAAAAGTTTTCATACTTAAAAAGTTATTTTATGTGTATGTGTGTTTTACCTGCATTTATGTGTGCCTAGTACCCATGGAGGCCAGAAGAGGGTGTCAGATTCCCTAGAACTGGAGTCACAGACAGTTGTGAGCCAACATGTGGGTGCTGGATATTGAATCCACATGAATTGAATTAGCAGCCAATGTTCTGGTTTTTTGCTTTGTTTTTTTTTGTTTTTTTTTTTTCCCGAGACAGGGTTTCTCTGTGTAGCTTTGCACCTTTCCTGGAACTCACTCTGTAGCCCAGGCTGGCCTCAAACTCACAGAGATCCACCTGTCTCTGCCTCCCGAATGCTGGGATTAAAGGCATATGCCACCACCACCTGGCTGCAGCCAATGTTCTTAACCACTGAACCTCTAGCCCTGAATTTTATTCTTTTTTTTGACCTAGTGACATTCAGGAAGATACTGCTTTATGTTGCTGAGCAGTTGTAAGCTGTGGCTCCCAATCAGCCATGCTCTCATCAAAGTAAATGACTGATACCTACAATACAGTAGCCATCATTTTCCCACAAGTATGCAATAAACTACCTAAGAGACTCACCTATCATTAGCTGTCTTTGTGTTAGATGACTTTGCCCAACAATAGGCTAATTTAAGTTCAAGTTAGATGAGGCTAAGCTATGCTGCTGCTGTTCAGTAGATTAGGTGCATTAAGTGCATTTCAAATTAACAGTATTTCTAATTTATAATGGGTTTGTCAGGATATGACTCATTTAAGTTAAAAATGGAAAGTCAAGGGGCACCTGAACTGTGGAGGAAAGGCTTTGTTTTTGTTTGTTTTTCATTTAAAGTTGGACAGTGTTTTCATTTGAAAACAGTCCACAAGAAAATGTTAACTTATAAAGCAATAGCTGAAAATTTTATCAATTTACAATAAAATACACAATACCTTATGGCTAATTCTGGAGTGTGGACCCTACTCCTGGTTTCCAGACCTCACTCGTGACAGAGTGCCTTGATGTGTGTGTGTGTGTGTGTGTGTGTGTGTGTGTGTGTGTGTGTGTGTGTGTGTGTATAGATGCATATGTATAAGAGTCCATCCATCAGAATGCCCATTGCTGGTTGTGTGTGTTTTGTTTAAGTCTGTTCTTTTCCTGAATGAAGCAAGAGATTAGTGGTCAGAGACCCATTTCCCAACTGTATATGGTGGTATGCATCTGTAATTCTAGCACTCCTAGTACTCAGGAGGGAGAGGTAAGATGGTCCCAGGCCAGCCCCAGCTCCATAAAGAGACATTACCCCCATCACCACCAAAAGAGAAAACCTTTCTCTTATTCCTCATCTGGTTCTCTTACTACAGCCTCAAACATCTGGGTGATTAAATGCATGTGTCTGAAAATTATCATTCCAATTTTCTTTTTGTTCATGTAAAACAAATCACTTTTATAAGAATTCTCAGGGTTTTGTTTTGGGTGTTTTTGTTTTCCTCCATCATACTCAGTATATCTCAACAGTTCTGACAGATAGTATTATCGGGAGGGTAAGGAAACAGACACCTTGTACAGGCACGAAGGAAGTATAAGAGACAGGAGCTAAGTCTCCTAATTCTATGTTTTGTATGGTCTGCTGCTCAAAAGCGCATTTTGTCTCTTTTCACAGCTGGACAAAGAAAGGATGGAATCCAGAAACATCAAAGTGACATGATTTCAGGGCAGGAAATCTGTGGCCATTCTCTCTGGCATTCTAAAGAAACTGTGGGGTAGTGAGCAAATGTGGGAGAGACTGGATTTATAGAAACTGAAGACTCGCTCTGCCTTCCCTTCGTGAACAGTCTACCTTCAAATAGTCATCCCTCAAGCTCAGGCACAGCCAGGGAGCCAGCCTTGTGCATTGACCTTGATTGGACTGGGCTCAGAATCACACCTCTAAAATTTCAACGCTTGCAAGGCAGAGGCAGAAGGATTGGAGAGTTCGAAGCCAGCCTGGGTTACTTAGTTAGACCTGTCTCAAAAACCAATGAACCAAACTAAATCTGGTCCCCGTTTCCCATGACAGGCACTGGCTACCACTTACAGCTTAAAGAAATAAGATGGGCACCCCAAAAGGCTGGAATTTAAAGACTATTCCAAGTGCGTGTGAAAGTGTGGGTGGCGAGAACATGGAAGGTTGGGACGAAAGGACCACATTCTTGTGCTTGTGCTAGGGCACCGAGTAGAACGCGTCAAGATTGCAAGTACTTGAGTTTCTCTCAGTCAGCTGCCTCTTCCAGGTGACTTCAGGATCAGCATCAGGTAGTACCACCGAGCCTAAGAGATCAGCAGAACGAAGGAGTTGTTCTGAAAGGTCGGCGAACCCATGCAAACACACAGGTCGAAGGTGGCCGTTCCCCTTAGGGCCATCTTGTTTTCAGGTTCATTCGTGTTTCTGGGTGTTCTTGGATCACCGCGCGACCCTGCTGCAGACCCAAGTTCAGAGTGACCCTGGGCATCCTTCAACCCAAATGCCGGAGGTGCAAGGCTCAGCTTCCCAGCCCTGCCTGCAGCGAGCAAGGTTCCTCTGGAGTTTTACGTTATGGAGAGGCCTTCCACGAACCCTACCCTACCCTAAATCCTCCCCGGAGCAGCCTTCAGGCTCCCGGGTCCACGCGGACACTCTCAGCAGCACCTGCCACCGCAGCCCCTGGCGCGGATCGCGGACCCTGGGGACTCTGCCGAGGCAGGTTTTGGATGTCAGCCGCGTGGGTGGATGCTGCTCGGTGCCCGCCGCCGATGGGAGGCAGCGTGAGCCCGAGAGAGCCGGGAGCAGTCGCCGTGGCCGCGCTCGAGCGCAGCCTCCTCCCGCTCCCACAATGCACAGGGCGGCGGCGGCGGCGGCGGCGGCGGCGGCGGCTGCATCGGGGGGCGGCCGAGGAGACCGAGGAGGCTCCGGAGACCAGGCCTCCCGGGAGACCTCCGAGGAGGCGGAACAGCTGGGGCAACCGAGGAAGCGAGGGGGCTGAAGACACGAGGCTGCCGAGGGGACCTCAAGGGCGGTGGAGAGCGGGCGGCTGGGGAGACTGAGGCGGCCCTTGGCTGCTCTCCCCCCCGAGTCCGCCGGGCACGCGCGTCGGACTCCCGCGGGCGAGCCCGCGGGTGATGACCGGCAGACTCCCGCCCGCCCGCCGCTAGCTAGCGCCTGACGAGCCCCGCCCCGCCCCGGTCCCCGCCCGCCAGCGCGGCCCGCCCTGCCCGGCCCGGCCCTTCCCCTGCTCCCCGCCCGCCCGCTGCCGCTTCACCCGCGCGGGCGGCCGCCACGCGAGCTGCGGCCTCCGCCCAGGCGGGGGGCGTCGGCGCCGGGCCCACCATGGCCGCGTCCGAGCTCTACACCAAGGTAACGCGCGCGCGCGCCGCGCGGGGCCGCGCCCTGGGGAGGGGTCGCGCGCTCGGGGGCCCGGGGGTGGTGGGACCTCCGGGTTCCGCCAGACTGCACCTCCCTGCCCGGTTGCACCTCCCAGCCCGGCTGCACCTCCCAACCCGGCTGCACCTCCCTGCTCTGCCTCCTGGGCCCATTTCGGGTGGGATGCTCTTGGGCAGATGCTCGGGCAGCTCTCCGGGGACGCGCGCTTAAAATAACGTCCTGTGCCGGTATGCGCCAGGCAGCCTCTCCCGGGGAGATTATTTCGGATTCTGCAGATATGGCCAGTCCGCTTTCACCTTTGGCTGCAGGGTTCTTGCCATTGCCCTGGGGTGCGGAGGCTTTGGGAAGATGCAGCCTGGCGATGGCGAGCTTATTCTCAGGCTCGTTGGTGGCTGGGAGTTTGCAACCTGCGCGGTATCCCCGAGAGCCTCGTTAGCTCCGTGTCCTCACCCTCCTTTCCGGAGAGCCCTTTCCTTTTGGTCTTCGTTTAGGGGAAGTGGCAGTCTTTTCGGTCTTAAACCGACGCCCATATTCTCTGAGTCTGGTAATCTCTCTCTGAATGGCGTATTTTGGAGAGACTTCAGAAAATCTGTGTTGGCCAGTATGTGGTGTATGCAATCGTGGTATCTTTTATTATGGTTTCAATGGGTGTTTTGCCAGCTATTGATTATTAATGATCTCTAATTCCACTCAACAGAATTGCCTTAACTTTTCAAGTACACATTTTCAAAAATTTGCCAGAATCGCTCTTCTTGTCTCTCTCTGTTTCTGTCTTTGTCTGTCTTTCTCTCTGACACTGGAGATTGAATGTAAGGGCCTCAAGCACACTAGGCAAACCCTTTGCCACTGAGCTATATATTCATAGCCCCAGCTCTCTGGACTCTTCCTTGAGCATTTTGAAATCATTGCTTGCACACATGACTCCAATAAGCCCTGAACCCAAGTTGCAGCCTAGAGGAAAGAACTCTAGATGGGGCATCCAGATACCTGCATCTGGTTGAGACCTTTTCGCCAACTGTGTGACCTTGTGCGCCCTCTCTGGTTCAGCTTTCTTACATGTAAATAGAGTTAATTATACTTGTCCTGCATTCCTTACAAGGTGTTGTGAGGATCTATTTTATTTTGTTTTGTTTTTTGAGGCAGAGGTTCTCTGTGTTTCTCTGGCTGTCTTGGAACTCGCTCTGTAGACGAGGCTGGCCTCAAACTCAGTGATTCGCCTGCCTCTGCATCCCGAGAGCTGGGATTAAAGGGTGTACTGCCACCGGCCTGGCTTTGAGGACCAAATTTAATACTAGTTGTGAAAGCTTTCTGTGACCTACAACCTTTTTCTACAAATATGAGTTATCTGATTAATTTCTTCCAGCCATGAAATGAGGAGCTTGCGTGAACCTGGGACTTCTTTCTTAGCCCTAGATTTAAGAAGTGTACAATTAGAATGTTTTTCTAAACCTAGTAATTTCTTTAGGCATGGTAGGTATCTAAGATATGGGTGACTATCATTGGAAACTGATTGAAAGTTACCTTATTAACTTATATAGTACAATTATAAGTGTTTTGCAAATATTAACTCATTTAATCCTTACAATTAATGTATGAGGTAGATACAAGTAGCAGTTTTGTTGGTGTGAAGAGTTGTCAGTCTGTAAACATTGCTTAGTTACATTGTTCTGTCCTGTCTGGCCCCTTACAAGGCTGGCCATCAGTCCCATCTTGAACCTAATTGTAGCCTGATGAGGAGAAATTGGGTGGTAAGTTGTTGGACTTCTGGATCTGCTTTTGTGCTCAAAAGATAAATTTGTAGGAAAAAAATGGGAAAGGTGTTGCCATTTTTAAATAAGGTTTTGAGTTTCCATCACAGCTTTATGGGTAATATAATTCATCTTTTAATCTTCCTAGATACAGACTGATTTAGTCACTGAAAGTGAAGATGGGAATTAAGGGGCTTTCTCCTAAATTCACATATACTGAAGAATAGCCTGGTTCCATACTTGTTAGTGGGCCAGTTCTCTGAGTGGGCCTTAGTTTAATGACAGGCAGGGATATTTATTGAGGACCCTGTATACCAAATACTCTGCCTGATGTGTGGAGTTTACAACAGCAGACAAGTCCACTTTCTCTCATAGGGCTCACAGTCGGCTTCTCATATTCTTGACCCACTTTGACTCTTCAAGGGCATAAATCACCTGCTGTTACCTTAACACCAGAGGCAGATGTGTTAGCAGGAGTTAGGGCTATGGCAAAGGTTGGAGTGATTTTATAGAATGGAGTAGTAACTATTAGGAGAAAGAAGGTAGCCATTAGAAGAAATGTCAGTGGTAAACACAAGTATCTTTTCCTTGCAGAGGATTATAGAGAAGGAAGTTGTGGATAGATTACGAGGAAAAACATTTTACTGACATGCCATAATTACGATATTCAGCATTGTGATTAAATCTGAAAAATGCCCTTTTAGAAGTTGTCATCAGACTTTAAGGCAGATTTTGATGTGTGATACAGATCAGCTCCTATTACACTGAAGGGCATGGGGCTGTTCAATTTATTTTCTTAAGTTAGAATGATAATGGTTTTGTCATCACAACTTAGCGGGGTTTCCATTTCATAAAAATTTCCAGAAGTTTAAATATTTAAGAACAATAACTTAGTGCCTGGATATAATGTTTCTTAAGACTGACATTTGGGTTAAAACATATTTGTTAATTTTTTTTCAGAGGGGGTTGCTAAGGAGCTGTTGAATTTTTTAAATTACAGCATTGTTGAGTTACTCTATACTGTACAGTTCACCAATATAAGCTATCCGGTTCAGTAGTTTTAGTATATTCACTGGGTTGTGTGATTTTAGTTAGGTGTACCAGGCAGCTGTTATGTTATTGCTCTGAGGAGAGTTGTTAGTCTTCACTTGCCAGTAGATGTCTATGTGGCAGCCTCATCTAATGATACTTTTAATAACTTCAGAGGTTTAGCATTGTGGAACCAAGTTTATCAGTAAGACCTGGAAGGATCATCTGCAGCAATCTAATTAATTGCATATTGATCAGCCATATAGACCATTGATAGCACATGGGTGTTATGCAATGGACAAAGGTACCTGAAGCTGTTTGAGTAGAAGTCCCTGTGATACATGAAGATGCTAAGTATTGTAAGAAAGAAAAAAAAAAATCAGATGGATACTTCAAAGCCATAAAACTTTCCCGGAGGAAGACAGCTTTGTGGGGCAGTAGATTGCATGTTTGCTGCCAAATTTGCCTTCTCCACATTTTCTTATGTACCTACATGAAGCCATAAAACGTGTGTGTGTGTGTGTGTGTGTGTGTGTGTGTGTGTGTGTGTGTGTGTGTGTGTGTTTGTGTGTGTGTATGGTGTAGTTCAGTTAGATATTCAATAGCATTGGCCTCTCAAACCACCATTCCTGGAGATTCTAATATTTCGGTGTTAAAATCCATTATTTGATCATTTGCTCTGATCTGGAGTTTGGCAAGTACACCCTTCAGTCACGCTCCCTGTGTGTCTTTTTCCTTCGCATGTCCCTAGGCTTGTTAATGGCACTGCTCATCTAGTTGTACAGGTTAGGAACTGCAGCATCCTTTCCCTTGGATCTTATATTTTATTTCTTTACCAATTCTGGTCCAATTTGACATCCAGCTGTTAAGATTCCGAACCACTGCTAGCATCTTCTTTTTTCTATGTCTCAGTGACCTGGATGCATTTCCATCTTACTATGTAGTTGTATGTGTGTTACCATTGTCATAGTACTACAAGCCCCATTGAGATGCTATTTTGTTTAGCTCCCATTTTTTAAATAAATGAGTGAATGAATACTTGAACAGGAGGAGGTATAGACTGAAAATTATAGTCGGGCAGTGGTGTCCCATGCCTTTAATCCCAGCATTCAGAAGGCAGAGGCAGGTGGATCTCTGCTAGTTCAAGCCTAGCCTGGTCTATAAAGCAAGCTCCAGGACAGCCAGAGCTGCAAACCACAAGAAGAAGAAGAAGAAGAAGAAGAAGAAGAAGAAGAAGAAGAAGAAGAAGAAGAAGAAGAAGAAGAAGAAGAAGAAGAAAAGAAAAAAGAATGGCATGGATCAGGCATAGTGATGCACTTCTGTAATCATAGCACTTGGAAGGCAAGGGATTACCATAAATTCAGGGATGACTCAAGCTATGTAACAAGACCCTAGTCTGAGAAAAAATAAAAAGCAAATTATAAAAAGGCAGTTAAAGAAGTAAACATTTGCTGGGCATGATGGCACACACCTTTAATCCCAGCACTCGGGAGGCAGAGGCAGGCAAATCTCTGTGAGTTCGAGGCCGGCCTGGTCTACAAAGGGAGTTCCAGGACAGCCAGGGCTGTTACACAGAGAAACCCTGGCTCGAGAAACCAAAAGAAAAAACAAAAAGAAGTAAACACATCCTAAGGTATTTTGAAGAGGGTGAGTAATAGGGAGTAGAGAGGAGAACTGGGAGCCGGGGAGACCAAAAAGAGAGCTGTTTCAGGAAACAAAATGTGAACTGCAGAGGTCTGGTGGACCAAAGTCAGCATAGAAAGGTGTTTAAAGAAGGAAATAAACCTGAGAGACATTTCTGTGAAGGATTAGCTAGTGGACAAGAAGGAGAGGAGCTCGGATAAGGGCCCTGGAAGCTGTTCCTAGGGACTGCACATGGAAAATTGCTCGGGATAATTCTCTGAATTGCTTGACCAAAGCAAAGTGATCATGAATTGCTCTAGTAATGTGTCAATGTCTCTTAAATTGTGATGGTTCTGTATATTATCCAGTGGCTCACAGATGACAAAAGTGTTCTAACTCTAGTAAGAGTTGTCACTCCCGGACCAGTTGTTTAAATCTTAGCTTTTTAAATTAAGGGAAAACTGGAGGAACACACTTTTTCCCTGTGTGCGTGCCTGCCTCCCTCCCTCCCTTCTTTCCTTTCTTTAAGAGGGGGGTCTTACTCTACAGCCCAGACTGCTCTGGAACTTTTAC